GGCGTACGAGCGCGCAGTGGTTGCGACAGCCACATCAGAACCCGGCCCCTTTTCCCCCGCCACACCCCAGCCCAGCCCATCCGCCCGAGGCGCCGCCATGGATACGCTCGGCTCCGCTCTGCGTAACTTTCGGCTGACCTTTACATGAGCAAACAGTAACAGGGGGCGAGGCCGGTGGTGCTATCTGTCTTCGTCCGCTAAGCCCCTGCCGCGTCCCCTCTCTGGGCCACCCCGGCGCGGCACGGCGGCCGTGACGAGACGAGTCAAAGTCATCTTGAGTGTTAGCCTCGCCATCGCCCACCGCCGACTTCGCCTCGTCCTCCTCTGAGCTGTCAAACAGTACATCTTTCCGGTGGTAATGGAATAAAAAGGGTTTGCAGAAAGGCATCTCCCGCCACCCAAGGGAAGGCATCACACAAATGAAGGAGGTCACTTCTGGGTCTAGGGCAGAGCAGGTGGCCCGATGCCCCTCCTGTACACAGCCCTTCGTCCAGCAGCGGTCCGCCGACGCGAGGCTAAATAAGCAAGACCATAAGACCTGCCAGGAAGATTTCACATGCCCGCGACTCGCAAGCGAAATTATTAAAAGTGCGCCGTGCGCGGCTGAGCTAGACTCCGCGGGTCGGACAGGTGGATTGACCTTGCGTACGCTACAAGCCCGCGGCCCGACCGCACGTGTGTGGGCTTGGGGCTATCCGCGGACATGGTGGTAGGGCCTGGTAGCCAGGGAGGGGAGTGGGGGAGCGGTGAAGCGGGGGGCCCAAATGGCTGGGCTGGCGCCATGACCGCCGCCTCTGAAAAGTGCACCCAATTTGCTGATGAAAGCAATTTCGGTGTGTGAGCGGCTCATATTCGTTTTATACGACTCGCGCGCCGCGCACTCTGTTGGCCGACGGCAGGGGCAGGCCTGGGGCTGGGCTTCGGAACCCTTCGGGGCCAGGGTGGGTGGGGGGAATCCACCAGAAGCAGCACGGTCCAGAAGGAGCATTACGGGAATAGAAACTTATGGCTTTTTGTGCCAGTCTCTCCCAAAATATAGTTTATCTCGCAATATGGGAGCTAAAACGAAAAGGGGCCCTTTCCCTGCTTTGTGGTTCTCTGGATTAAAGCTGACGCTCTGAGATATTGGTTCAATCTGGTGACGGCCCAGTTTTCTTAATCAATAAGTTCTATTGAAAGTGGCTAATTTTTCAATAGCTTAGTGTCCCGAGCTTAAATAATTTTGCCCAATCCGTGTGATATGTGATTCTCCCTGGTTCCAGGTCCTCTTGTGTGGTTTTGCTTACTGTCCCTTCTCCAATATAAATACGGCGTTGACGATGGGGTCTGTGCTTCTTTTAATTCAAAGAAATCCCTCTATATTACTAACACATCTGTTTAAAGTACGAATAAATCTGGAATTATGTACGTTTTAAATCATTGGTTAATTACAGAAGGCTTTTCCAGAAGAATTTTAAGGAAAGGGCGGTAATAATTTAGCCGTGTGGTGGAGCAGGTGTAACACAGCTACTTTCTGATTCGGTGTGAGTTGAGTAGCACCCTACCTTGTGGAGTGGAAGCGGGCTCCGGCCATGCCCAAACCCACCCCACCTGGTCCCTAGCTCCGCCCCACCCCGCTCTGTTCGACTCCACTCTGCTGCTCCTCCCACTCTTGGCTCATTCCTGTGCTCCATGAGTGGTGTGGTCTGGTCACCTTTGTCATCACAAGGCGGCTCTAAGTAGTGGCGAAGTGCTCTCGCGAAGCACGGAGCCGCCAGGTGGCGAAGACCTTGCCCTCGCCCTCGCCCCCTCGCTTTGCCACTCCTCCCCTTTCCACCCACCCCTCTCTTTTGACTTTCTCCCTCTCCCAATTTTCCACAACCCCTTATCAGAATCGATACATGATTTCAAAGGTATTGTGAAGAACCACTTAGCAATAATAGCTAAAGTCATTCGATTTGTTTGCGTATGCGACTTGCATAGGAACCCTCTGTCCCAGCCCTCAGGCCGTTATTTACATTGTGTATATGCCTGTATGTATATGTAAATCCAGTTGTGTAATATGGACGGTTTTTTTATACCAGGCGCGCTGCGTTTTAGTCACTTCGGCACACACCTGCATTCCCACACAATCTTACAAAAGAAAGCCTTTCTGTATCTTACGTTGAATTTCGAACCTACATAGGATGGATGTACCTGGAACGATATGTCCTTATTTCATGTAGATGTTTTGTCTGTGTAACCTAAGTATATATCACAGTGGTCGAACGGAGTGGTCAATCGCCTTGTGTTTGCAGTTCGTCCCATCTGCCGGCCGGGCCAGCAGCACACCTGGGGCGTGGGCCGCGGCGAGACCATCACCATCCCGTGTGATGTCGAATCCAACCCAGACGACGTACAGTTCACGTGGCGCCTGAACACAACGTCGGACAGCGTCGAGATACCGGCGTCCAGACACACGGCCGACCGGGCGCGCTCCTACCTCAAGCACACGCCGCAGAGTGAGCGGGACTACGGTACCCTCCTGTGCTGGGGCACCAACACCCTCGGCACGCAGAAGCAGCCCTGCACCTTCCACGTCATCCCCGCAGGTAAGTTACCTATGCACTTAGGACTCAAACGCGCCTAATACTCCGGCACGAGGCATTTTGTATTCTGGGCAATTGTCGACCTGACGCACTCACAAAAAAGAATTATTGTTCCAATAATTTGTCGTGCTCTCATATGGCCGGGTGGCCGGGTTGTTGCTTCTAAGATACGATGTTGCTAACTCTATGACAGCTGCTGGTTGTGTCATCGACTCATAGCCGTCAGCAATCGTGTCGTTGGAAAAACATCCCATTTTCCTAAACCAACAACAAAATGTTGTTGGTGCAGTCATTGACACATGTCGTCGGAACGCTGAATGTTATATCTAGGTGCTACGTTTAGTAGAGTATTCTTATTCTTCCAATCACACAGGTTCGCTGACATGACAGAGTTTGCGCTGACAGGGTACGTTGGTTCGGAATGCGCATCAGGGACTCCTGTCGGCAGTTAGGCTCCTCTCTCGCGGCGCGACGCCCAGTAGGCCGTGATGGAGATGCAGCGGGCCCTTTATTGAAAAAGTTGGCATGGGATCCACCTTGCGCGCTGCAACTAACTTTGCTGCCCGGACTCCCCCTCCCCTTTATTCTTTTACGGCGCAAAATGAATTCAATCACCCCCGGAGCAGAAACTGGCGGCACACGGCGCGGCACTCGTTGTGGCATCCGACCCGACGTGGCACACGACATGCCACACGACGTGGCTGGCACACGACGCGGCACACGATCGCGGCACAGTATATCATCTGCTAAAAAGAAATGTCAAACTATGCAATAACTGCCGAACAGTGACTGTGCTCTGGGGAAGAAAGTTTAATTTTGACACGTCTTTGTATTAATTTCTGTTTCCAGGGAAGCCCAACTCGCCCATCAACTGTACGCTTGCGAACCAGACCACTGAGTCACTCACCGTCACCTGCTCCGAAGGCTTCGACGGCGGTGTGCCCAAGCAAGAGTTCCTCCTGGAGCTGTACGACGAGCAGACCCACGTCCTGGTGTCCAACGTGACAGCTCGCCTCCCCTCGTTTACCGTGGGCGGCCTTGAGTCGGGCCTCGACTTTCGCGCCGACCTGTACGCCTACAACACCAAGGGCCGCAGCGAGCCAGTGCGCATGCACGCGTACACGCTCAAGGGGGCCGAGCGCAGGCTAGGTATGCGCGCACAATCCTCTTTCGCGCTCTTATTTGACCAGAGCGACGACGGCAAGGCTCATTTCAGTACGAAAATGTTTTTACATTCCTCACAAAACGTTCACAACTGAGGCTCGAATTGTGTTGTTTAAAGGTTGATCATGGACCTAGATTCTCAATCCTTTTATTCAAACTCAGTGACATCACATTTAAACGACTCCGCCTCCTGTCACATTTCTTGGAATACTGTGTCACATTCGTGGCACGTACGCCGCACGCCTGCCATGCTTTGAGCCCGTCAGGGCATAGCGAGGCAATGGTAAGAGGGTAAATGAAGTTCTCATGGAAGTGATTTAATGTACTAAGTAATGTGACACAGATCCTAGTAGATTGAATGTGACATCACAGTGTTTGAGTTTGAATAACAGTGATATTATTAAAGTGCCTTTATTTCTAAAGAACGATTGAACAAATTTCAATGATTTCAAGGATTGCTCCGCATTTTATACAAACGACGCGGTGTCACACATACCCTTGGCTTTGCAAAGTCAGAAGTCAGTTAGTTTGGCACACCAGTACAAGGAGCACGAGCAAATTCTTACCTTAATCTGATCCTTAACCTTGATGACACCACAGCGGCGACCCAGGCCGCCCTGCAGATCACGCCGCTGGTGGGGCTGCTGGTGGGTGTGGTGGCCTCGCTGGTGCTGGCCGCCGTGCTCATCGTCGTGGTGCTGCGCATGCGCGGCCGGGGTGAGGGCCACGACGAGAAGTCCGAGGATCGTCATCGAGGCGACAAGGCGGCCTCCATCTCGGCAAACGCTGGTGGCAAGGGTGACGGCAAATGCGAGCCCGAGCAGGGCGCCACTGACGAAAACAACCCCGATCTCATCCCAGACAAGAGTGGTGAGTTACCAAGGGGGCTATAAGTTATTTGCATCGATTTAATTTAAATGTGTAGTCAGCATTGTTGCCTTTTGGTTTTATTTTTTTTCTTTACCTTTACACGTAAATTTTATTCAACTGTTGGTTTTCTTGTTTTGTAGATTTACATTGCCAGCTAAATTTTTATTTGACATTGAACATGAAATATGTGTAGTTTCCTGTAGCTTGCTATTTTTATCTTCCTTTATTTCTTTCACCTTGCTTTTTAAATATGTCTTTATTTGTTTTTGTTTTGTTTTTCCGCTGTAGTAGCAGACTCGTACTCCATGGTATCGGAGTCGAGTCTCATTTAGCTTTGTGCCTCACGCCCCGTCCCGTCTCCCGCGGCACTCTCATCTGGCAATGAACCGTTGGCTCTGGTAAGAAATCATCACGCGAAAAAACAAAAAAGATCGCTAATAAATCCGCTTGATGGGGTGGGTGAGGCGAACGATTGTTACAAAACAGCATGTCGGAGTCGCGAGTATTCCGCGATTCGCTCGTGTGCTATGAGCGTTCTCGTGGGGGCCCCTCGCGCAGTGGCGCGGCGCGCGATGGGCGGACGCTGATGGACACGCGCGGGAGCAGCGGAGATTTGGACCGGATTGGAAGATTTGTCATCGTCACAAATTCGTCCCGCTATCTGTTGTCTGTAGCG